CACCAACCGACAGTAACGAAACTGATCGGGCACATTTAGTTCTTAAGCGGCACGAACATGATAATAACGAGCAATGAAACTTCGTCAATGTTTTTTGTGCATTCTTATATAATACAATTGATTACACATTGCAATAGGATATTCCTGATTTCGCCCATTTTGTCGAGACACAGAGCTGAACCGGCCCCCACTTTGTTCCTAATCGCGAACGCTTCCAGTTTCTTGAAATCCTATCAAAAAATTATTTCTCAATCTCAGATACCTAAATCACATTTTATATCGACCAGCCACTTTTCATCATAATTTTTAAATCTTTATTTCATAGTTTTTTTCTTAATTCATTAGTAAACTCAATGAGTTTTATTAAAAATATCTATATTGATTTGATTATTGATATCTATAAACACAGTTTTTGCATAAGAATGCATTTTTTGCAACTTTAAAGCTGTACTATTTGCATTAGCTCAAAAGGCATTCTTGTCCTATAAATTGTATCCTTTTAATCTCCTTCTCTCTCTCTGTCTTTCTCACTCTTCATATCCTATATCCTTATATCCGATAAAAATCCTTGTATCTTTTTATAGGATTTCCTTATATCCTATAAAAATCCTAAAATATTCTTTATATACTATGAAAATAACATTAATAAATTAACAGGTAGCAAAGTATTATAAAATTAGCTTAAACAAACAAAAGAGAATTTTTAATTTTATTCTCAAAGATGCTATTTTTAATACGTTACATATTTTTTGTTCTCACTAATAAAATATCATTTTTTCGTTCTTGATCTCTAAGATAGCTTTTTATAAGTATAATTGTTGAGAAAAGTCTCAGAACACCTACTTGCTTTTTCTGATAAATCAGTAACTATCTTTGCTAGCGGTTGGATTATTAAAGGATGCAATGGAATTGCCTTATTAGTAATTAATTTTAGCATTCATTCTCTGAATTTTGAAGAAATAAAAATTATTTTTTAATCAAAGAATCGGGAGTCAGATTTTTACTTCGATTCCCGACTCCTCACCTTAGTTAAATGATAAATATAAGGGTTTTCTTGATCTAATGAATTTTTTATGCGATTCTATCTTGTCCCAATGCTAGTTTTCTTACATTTGCGTGTAGTAAGGATGAGTAACCCAGAAAACTCGCACTGTGTAATCGGATCTTTTTAGAAACGTTCTGCCACAATCTTCAAAAGACTATTCTTCTTTTTGAAAATTATGGCTCCAATACACGCCAACAGGACGGAATCAAACTCAAATCTATTTGTTTGATAGTCTTGCAAAGACCCCGTGTGGAGCTCCTTATAAGGAAAAATAACTGTTGTTACTGCAGCCAGATGGCCAATTGACTAGTGCTCTGGCCTTTGGTACCACAGGCTTCAAGTTGGAATCCTTGCGGTGCTATAAATGTTTGTGAGTGGTTCGGAATCCTCATTAAACTGTAGGTCGTGGTCTAATTAGGCTAAAAAGTGCAAAAAATGACCTTAGAGAGGCAAACCAAACTAAACATTCGTAAGCACCTATGCGTGAATATTTGAACCCTTTAAGCTGATCGATCACCGTTTATTTATTTATTTATTGATAGGGTTGAGATTAATATCTTCCAAAAAAACATTTAAGGTTTACTTTTTTTCTTCATTGACACACCAACCCCATGGTTTGCCAAAGCTGTCTACCTACTGACAGGTTTTGTGTCAGGTATATTCTTTTTACGGGGTAAGGTTTTAAAAAAACGGGGTTGTACCTACGTCTAAGTCCTACGCCCAACTCTCTACAATCATATCGGGACCTATGGTTTAAAGTGTATTACGAACCACTACAAGCACTGGACTCGAAACCAAAACCTGTGTCACCGAGCACTATTCAAGGATAACTGCCCAGTGTTCATTAGTTATTTTATACAGAAGTTCAGCTAAGCAATTAAGTTGTTGATGGATAATTTTCTATTCTAATTTTCTGCTCCTGTATACATTTTGCAAAGCTGTGGTTAATCGTCATAAGCCGCATTTAAATAAAGATACGAGCAATCGGAAAACAAATAATACTAGCTATTTCTATGTAATATTTAACGGAAAATATTGCTTCTGAAGTTTAAGAAAAGGAAAAAATATGAAAACAATATATTTTTTTCATCTAGTGAGTAAAAAAAATATGTGTTTCTGTTGCATTTAATTTTCTATTCCATAATACAGTGAAATAAATGAAATTATTTACAGAATGAAAGCAAAATTGGTTTCTAATTTAGAACTACTATTTATTCTGATTTTTAAAAGAAAAAGTTTGATAAATGAAAAAATATACATTGTATTATAATGATAAGCCACTTATTATGCGACGGTTTTCTCTTAATTTATGGGCTACCTGGAGGCCAATTGGTTCTCTGTCCATTGGTACCGCAGACTTGAAGTTCGAATCCTGGCAATGGCAAGAATGTTTGTGAGTGGTTCGGAATCCACATTAAACCGTAGGTCCCGGTCTAAGTAGCCTAAAGTGTGCACGAAATGACCGTAGAGCGACAAACCAAACCAATTGTAATTTATTATTTAATGATATTATTCAAGGCCTCTTCTGTCAACTTAATTTAACTTAGTTAAGGATTATCTTGTTTTATTCAGCACCATTAATTTTAATAAATTTCACAAAAACAATAATGTATTTAAATATTAAAGTCGTTGGAATATTACGAGATTAAAAACTGCGTACTGAACACTTGTAGTGATTTTAATTGGAAATTCATAAAACTAAAATCCATACATAGCGTTTAGATATTTTATGAAATAAATTCTGCCATAATAATCAGAAAAACTTAAAAAATGGAAAATTTTGCTAGTAACTATGTACTAGCAAAATATTTAATTTTTACTTGGTGAAAAAGTTTTCAATAAATATCTAGCAAACAAATACTGTAATATGAAAATAATTTTAATAGATATTTTCAAGGAGAAAAGGATGAAAAAGGGCATTAATAACTTTTCTCTCAGTACAAGACTTTTCAATTTGAAATGCTTGTGTGTATCTTAATATACAATATAAATAAAACCTTAATGTTCAATTTTTGAAAAATAATAATATTATTATTATTATTATCATTGGGTTGTCAAGGAGGAAATTTGTAGAAAAAAAATAAAGCTGGGTGATAAACTAAGGAGCTCTGGTGCTCGATACCACAGGTTTCAGGTGCCATGGATGTTTGTAGTGGTTCGATATCCACTCTAAACCGTAGGTCACGGTGTAATACGATCGTAGAGAGCTGTGGGGTCAGTGTTACTCGCGTCCGTAGCGTATCTTCAAACTACACGTGCCCCATGGATAGCGCTAAATGAGTATCAGCGGTGCAACCCTTGCTTATGGCATAAAGATTAACTGTCTCTGTATTGTCAGCGGCATTAGAAAAAAATGGTTTATAACTTGTAAATATATGAAGTTATTTTATTCATCAAAGTGTGCACCCATATTGTCTGTACATTTTAGCCAGCTGCCATACCATGCTGAATATACCGGTTCTCGTTAGATCGCCGAAGTCAAGCATCATTGGGTGCGGTCAGTACTTCGGCGGATGACCACCTGGGAACACCGCGTGCCGTTGGCATTCACACATTTGGGACTTGAATGGCCGAGTGTCTAGCGCTCTGGCGCTCGGTGCCACAGGTTTCGGGTTCGAATCCCGGCGGTGCCATGGATGTTTGTAGTGGTTCGGAATCCACTTTAAGCCGTGGGTCCCGGTCTCCTATGACTGTAAGAGAGTCACGGAGCCAAAGTCAGACTTCTACCTACGGGTGCTCCATCACAACAGAAGCTGCTTCCTTCCCCTTCAATCCTGAGTACGTATGGGCTCGTGGGCTTGGCCAGCCAAGTGGGATAAGAAACAACAAACAACAACAACATTTTTGCCATTTGAGCGTCAGGTTGTTCAGGCCGGTGATATAAAACCCTGGCGGACGAGTGTCAGTAAATTCCTGGAAGGCCAGTTTTACAGCATTGTAACTGGTAACATTAAATTAGCATCGTTTTACTAATAAAAAGCTGTCCAAATTGCGGAAGAAATGATAGTCAGTGGGGGGGCTAGGTCTGGTGATGGAATATGATGGCATGGACATCGACTGCGCGAGAAAGTTTCGCTAGTGGCCATCAGGTCGCATAACAATATTGGAGTTGGAACTTCAACTCCAATATTGTTATGCGACCTGATGGCCACTAGCGAAACTTTCTCGCGCAGTCGAAAATAATAAAATCGACTCGCAAGCATCTTCACTTGTTATGAGATAAAAAGATAATAATGACGATGATTCTACCCCTCTGTTTTCGACGGAGTGATTCGCGGAAACTTTTCCACCCCGCATTCTAAATGAATTGGATGAGTTCTAAATTGGAACTTTGTTTCTGACTCATAACAGTAAGCAGCAGTTGAGCTTCCGCGCGGCAACCCTCCCGGGGCAGACGGAACAAAAACGTTCTATTTTTAGAGCCACTTGTTGATGCGCCGATTGACTCAGCCTCTTCGTTCTGGGAAAAAAATTCAAATCGCCGGCTCACATCAAAGGCCTTTTAATTACCTTTTTGTTCCTTTCTTAATGGCCCTTATTTATACAATATTGCAGCCATTCTTCCACTCTTGTTTGCACACTCGCCCTCCTTAAAACATCGCGCAGAAAATAAATGAACTGTTTCACATTCAACATACAGTAGGTGCTTATCATAAAGGCATATTTAGGACAACAGACGTGTCCGATGACTGATTTTGCCAGAATATCCAACGTCAGTATGCTTTTAATGACGACACTAAAGATAAAACACCGATAAAAATGTAAACTATGTACGATTTCACGTGTTCACTCACACTCGTGGTAGTGTAGTGTACTGTAGCCTTTTTTTTCTCACAAGAGGCATTTCATTCTCTGGAGAAAGGAATGCAAGTTATTTACATACATTTCTTTCTCGTCAGTTTAACATACATTCTTTCCTTTTATTACATATAATAAAAACCCATTGTGTGTAGCCAACGGCCATACCATGCTGAATATACCGGTTCTCGTTAGATCACCGAAGTCAAGCATCATTGGGCGCGGTCAGTACTTGGGTGGGTGACCACCTGGGAACCCCGTGTGCCGTTGGCATTCACAAATTTGGGACCCGAATGGCCGAGTGTCTAAGCGCTCTGGCGCTCGGTGTCCACAGGTTTCGGGTTCGAATCCCGGCGGTGCCATGGATGTTTGTAGTGGTTCGGAATCCACTTTAAACCGTAGGTCCCGGTCTCCCATGACTGTAAGAGCGTCACGGAGCCAAAGTCAGACTTCTACCTACTTCTACTTATTAAAGATCGAATTATATGTTACCAAAACAGAAAAATGGAGATTTAATTTATTCAAGATCTGTATATTGGATTATCAATATACAACAGCAAAAAATTGTAGAAAATATACATATTCAGAAGAATTTAATTTAATGCATTGAAGATAACTTTATCAAGGAATAAGTGTCCTGAGGACAGTAATCACCTACACTTATGTATATTATCTACATAGCTATAGATGGGAAATAAAATATTATTATATTAATCAATATATTACATGAGTAGGGTGCATAATACGAGAGTCACTCTGAAATTTTTGAGATACGGCCAAATGATGCAAGTTTAACTTATCAAATTTTAAGAGTGTTCAAAGTAGTCTCCTCCAACATCAATGCACCTTTACAGACGATTTTTCCAAAGATTAAATCTTCACGCCATCCATTTCTTGGAATTGTCGAAAAATATGCTTTTATAACCTCGTCAATCTCATCTTCATCGATGAAAACGGCGACCACGTAAATGTTTCTTGAGATTAAAAAAAATAAAAAAAATTCACACAAATGGGAATAGGGTAGATGTTCTATCACTTTGATGTGTTTTTGTTTAAAAAATTCGACTGTCGATCTTGCCGTAAGAGAAGATGCATTATCATGGTGAAGCATACGTCCCCTTACATTCACTTCTTGGAGAATTTTTGGAAGACACTTAGTGGTGTACCAGTTAGCTATGACTGTCTTCTGTTCCTTCAGCTTGATGTTATTGTCCAGTCCCGTACTTCTGAAGAAAACGGCCTACATTACTTTTTTCATTGTTCGTTGTCTTTTCTCCATTGTTAGTTTGGTGTTATCTTCAAAGACCCATACTTTACTTTCTTGTCCTGTTGGAACGTCCAAAACGGTATGTAAGTTTCATAACCAGATCAGATTCTGACACGCTCCGTTTTTTTAGTGTTCTGTTAAATTACGGGGGACTCGACGACAAACTAATTTTTTCATATGCAGTTCTTCATGAATAATTCTATGTATAGCTGCGGATCCAATGTTAAGTTTATTCTGTATCATTTGGTAAGTGCAGCGATTATCATCGACTAACATTTTTCGTATGGCTGACACATTATATGGCACTGCAGCTGATGAAGGCATTCCTGTGTGTTCTTGATCCGGCAGAGAACTTCGACTTCTACGAAATTCTCTATACCATCTAAATACAGTAACACGAGATGGAGCTTCGTCTCCATATGCTAGTTGTAGACGTTGAAGGCATTCTTCTTGATTTAACGCCACTTAAAAATCATAGAAACTCATAGCGCGATAATGCTCTAGCGTCAATTCCAGTTTCCTCACTTCCAATATCTATGCAATTGTCGCCACAAATTAGCGTCTGCGGCCCTAAAAGAGTTCAAATTTACAAATTTAACGAATATTTTTTTTCCTGCGTTTGTCGTCTGCCACTGTTTCAAAAATTTCAGAGTTGCCCTCGTATCATATAATAAAACTTATATAAATGTTTAAATAAATTATGACATATTTGTACGAAATAAAACAAAATAAAATTATCTAAAATGAGATAATTTTTGAAATAATTTTAATTTTATTTTACATCATTTGAGAAAAAAATATCTCTGTGATAGGTCAAGCTGTACCAACCTATGAAAAATCTTAAAATTTAGGATATTGACTTAAAAAGTTAAAAATGAATAAATGAAAATAAAAACATAACACTTTCAGTTTAGAGACTGCATTATATAGTATTGATGAAAATGTTCTATATGATTTTTGTTCAATCCTATACCTTATTGTCTCTAAGTGCAAAGTGTATTCTTCATATTCTTCCTACTCCATAGTATCCTAGCTATGTCTTTGACTATGATCCAGTTACCTAGCGAGCAGAAATAACAGGGTTTATAATATCTTTAGACTACGTATTCTTTGATAACACTATCCCCAATATGTTGTAATTAATTTCCTCAGGGTTTTATATTTTATTCACACATTTCTTGGACAACAACTTTTCATAAGACACAATGTCTGTTATTTATGGTTTAATCATCATTAATTGTATAATAAAAGAAAATAAAGTTTTGGCTGCATTTATGTTATGATTTTGAATGTACAGTTTAAGAGTTTAGTTCCTGTTTTCACTTAATTGCATGAAATAATAAATTAGCATTCATTTTAAAAATATGCATATTGAATATTTTTCACACGTAACAGGATCGTTGGTGAAACGACCAAAGAAGAATCTTTCAGGAAGACATTTCCTTAACACTCAATTGTTATATTAAACCGTTATCAGTAACTTTTACGGAATTTTCGTTGGATGCCGCAAAACTTCAGAGAGAAACAATTCAAATATTTCAAATTCAACGGTGCGAAACCAAAGGCCACCCATAAACAGATAAATTTTTTTTTTTAAATTTCAAAGCTCATTCAATATCGCTTGATGAAATATTTATCATAACAACTTTCAAAACTTTTCCAAAAATTGTCTTTTTTTTTTCTCCTTAGTACATTCGCAAACAATATTTCATAAGGGACATTGTTTAGAACTTACAAGGGAAAGAAAAAAAATATATGGCTTCAAACTTTTGTCGTTATGATGCTTTTATTTAAGTCGAACGACACGCGCAAGATCTTCAGAATTTTTCAACTTATTATTATTATTATTATTATTATTTTCTAAATATATTTCGATCGTGGTCGAAAATCATAGCCTTCGGTTTCAAAACTTCCTTCCATATTATGGCGATGGAATAAACTATGAAATTAGAAGAAGAAAAAAATAATAATAAAAAGAATATCAATAAACAAATAATAAATTTCCACATTGAGATACTAATAATGAAAGTTTAGATAAATTATACAGATGACTCGAACAATATGAACAGACACACAAACAAAAACAAAAAAAAGAATAAATAAATAATGGCGGAAATTGCTTTATAGTGCTTCGGCCATGTTTATTCACAACAAAACTGTTTATTCTAAGTTGCCTTCATCAAGTGCGTATTTATATTTTTCCGTCTTCAAATAATTTATATTTAAAGATTGAAATCCCTGCGCGAGTTTAAACTTCTGCTGCCTGGAGCAAAAATAAACAAACCTTCCGTTCTGTTACCAAAAAAAGAACGGGGAGCCATCTTGTATTTGTTTCGGAATCCAAACATGCTGTCAAGCATGACACTCAACAAAGCTCGCTCAATTCTTTAATTATATCCCAGATCTGCTTTTTTTATTATTTTTTTTTATCTTTCTTCCTTACCAGTAGCCAAAAGGAAACAAAAAATAACAATAATAAAGAAACATCTGCAAATAAACATTCGCCGCCAGTAATGGCGTCCTTTTGCGCCAAGTTGGCACAATATTGGCCACTTTAAATCACTCTGGCGGTGCTGGGAATGCTTTTAAGGTTACGGGGGATTTTTATGCTGGTGCTGTCGTTTTTATCTTCCTAGATCTACTTTTTTTTTCCCCCTCTCTCTGTTCTTGCTTTTTTCTGTTTATATTTATGACGGTAGAAGTTTATCGAAATTGAAAGATGTTTTTTACTGCAGTTATTGTTATTAGTTAAGGAAAAAAGATGAAAAGTTCGCTGCTGTTGATGAATTAAATTATTTTGTTTTTCCATAAGGGAAAAAGAAAATTATGCATGACTTCTGTTAACTTTTTAAGACAATATTCTAAAATTTTAAAATTATTCATAGGTTGGTATAGCTTGGGCCATTTTTTTTTCAAATAAAATAAAATAAAATTGTTTCAAAAATGACCTCATGACATTTTATTTTATTTCGTACAAATATGCCATAATATACTTGAACATTCATATATGTTTTATAAAAATAATATTATACAATATGTTCCAATATGTATAACGTTATGCATTCCATTACATGCAATACCTTTTGGACATTTGCTTTTATATCAATCTCGTGGCATATCTAGTTAATTGTGAAATTAACTTTTTCCCAACAATTATTTCTTTTGTGACAGAGACGAAAAAAAGAAATTAAAAGTTTTTCTGAATAATACGATCTTTGTTCACAAACATTCATGTCCAAAATTATCTTTGCATGCATAAATTAGCGGATTTTTCAGAAATTGTGAACTATAATTTTATGAATTTGTCTGTAATGATACATAACATTATAACACATAACAGACGAAATTTGGAAAGGAAACAGTTTAAGAGCAATCCATTTGATATATAATTGTAGCATGAAACAATAAAAATGGTGATAAAAAGTTAGAAAGAGAGTTCAGAAAAAAATGAAGCCTTACAAATTTAATATGAAATGTGATTTTCCATGACTTGTACACACATATCACAACACGTGTTTTCATGCTGGCAATAACATTGTTAACCACAGTTTGAGGAATTAAGTTCCATTCTTCCAGCAATGCCGTCTTCAGAACATTTGCATCTCTAGAAGGAGGATGTATACGTGCAATTGCTCTTCCAAGGTAGACCCATAAATTCTCTATGGGGTTTGAGGTCAGGAGACTTTGCAGGTTACTGTATTCGCTGAATGTCTTCACTTTCAAGGAATTGGTCACGCTCGATGTGGACGATCCTGATCGTCCATAAATAAAAAGTCAGATCTATATGCACCTCTGAACAATAACATCAAGCTAATTTTTTTTATGTAGATCTTCCAAAAGTATTAATTAAATAATAAATAAAAATAACTTTCACTAATAAAGCTTTATCAGTGAAGTAATGTGACAAATAATGTATATTTTGAGCTAGTGTTTAGATTTAGATTAGATTTTCATTGCTGTCTCCAGCCTGCAAATGGTGATCCTTGAAACTTCTCCCTTAAA